TAAATATTAAGTAATTACTGTGTAGTAATTTTTTCTGTACAACTTTAGCAAGTATAACGTGTCAATATTCATGTGGTAATTTGTAGAATTATTGTTAGCTGTAGAAAATGTACTAGTTCAAGGGAGAAGAAAAGAGAAAAAAGATTTATTATATAATGAAATAATTAAAGAAAGAACAACCCCTGACTTAGAATTCTCTTATAACTACTTTTTGTCAATTGCTTTCCCAACTTTTACTGTTTCTTTCCTGCTTTATTCTCTTATTTTTCTCCCAAAATATATTACATTCCTTATTATAATACATACCTACCCTGTACAGTTCAAATTTTTAGGAGTATATTTATACAGCTTTATAAATATTATGATGCAGTCTCTACATTATTTGTATTAGTCTGTACGAATCGCCTAACTAGGGTGGTAAAATTTCAAACTGTATGTTTTCTTTATATAAATTACCTGTAAAATACTATACTTTTCTTAATTGTTTTTATTAGTTCTCTTTTTTATATTTTTAAAACATTTATTATGAGGTACTGAATTTACTCTCTTATTTTGTTGTAAATTTATCTAGTTTGAATTGTTTTTCATTAATTTTTAGGAAGTAGTAATATTTTTGTAGTCTGATTTGTGATCAAATATATAAGCACAAAAATGTGTGTATGTTAGAAAAAACTGTAGCAGATTTTCTCAGCCAGTCACTATTTTTGTTTTTGTTTTATTTTTTTTTATATATTTTGCAATTCTATTAATGTTAATACTTATGTAAATTTGGAACTATACTAGCTGTAAGAATTGGAAAAATATATCTGTAAAAATTAGCAAGAACTTTTTCACTAGTTCTATCTACAGAACCTCTTCTTGGATCGACAAGTGCAAGACCTAACCTGACATTAATCTATATAGCTGTAAATATTGCAATTTATGATATCAATCACATTAAATATAAAGAATTATCATAAAATTAATTATAAACCTTTTCATTTACAAATATAATTATTATATACACTACCCACTACCATCACTAAGTACTTAGTACCAGGAAAAGTAAATAACTTACCAATTGGCTTCCTACGTCCTCACATTTATTAAAATAAATTAACAGAACTACTGTACACAAATTAATTAAAATATTACAATATAAGGATTTAAATTATACTGAATATTACACATATTTACACTGTTCAAACAAGGCGAATTGTAACGACATGGAAGCAACCACCTGTGAGCTTTTTAAAAGTGGCACCAACATTTAAAAATATAGGTATGGATTAACTTACCATTTCAAATTGTGTTAGAATAAAACGTTTAAATGTTCTATTTGTAGATCCTGTGTGAGTTATTTTTGTTTTAATTTTACAAAATAGCGTTGGATTTACTGCTAAACAGACTACTTTTATAAAAAATAAGTGTAATATGTTATGTTGAAGGGTATGGTTTTAGGAACTATGCGTTTTAGAGTTTATGGAAATTATTCAAAGTTAAAAAATCTTACATTGGTAATACTTTTAAAAAATTATAACAGTTATAGAAAGTGCGATTGTCGATTTTAGTGTAGTGCGTTATTTATTAAACTTTTGTGATGATAATTACATACATTTACAGTTAAGTTGGTGTTATGTTTGAAGAAAAATGATACTCAAGGTACTTAAGTTTTTTTATATAGTATAGGTATTCTTCTATTCTATTTCAAGGAGGGGTAGATAGGTGATATTTTATTTGTATGTATAACTTTTAAAAGGGTAAATTTTGAATTACATGAAAGTGCAGTTAAAATAATGTACTAAAGGGATCTTAACCTTGTTGTAAAACCAAAAATTTTATAAATTTTTATTGTTTCCTACATGACTATTTTAGGTTAATTTCACAATTATGAATATTAGAGTACCTAGGTACTGAAAGTAATCTAATAACTCTATAAACCATAAGGCATTCTTATAAACACCAAACCAAAGCATCACAATTACACGGTTTTATGAAAATTACCACATCAACTAATGAAAAAAAAGAGTAACACTGACAACCATTTTGTTGCCATTTTGATAAAGCAAATGGATGTTTAGCATTTTCAATAAAATCTTTTTATCGCAAATAATTTATTCTATCCAAAAAATAAACGATTCTTGAACAATTAATAACAAGAATGGAATGTCACAGAAACAAAGTAGTGTAAAAAACAAACGATTACTGATTATTTACTATAGTATCTCTAAGTTTTTCATAGTTAGCACCGCTAAATTGTGCCACGACGTGCTTATTTTTTATAAAAAGAAATGTCGGCATTGCACACACGTTATATTCCGTCGCCAGATCTTCACATTCGTCCACGTCAACCTAAAAATGTACAGAATTAGCAAAATATTAGATCCTTACATTCCCTGTAAAAATTATTACCTTTAAAATGAGCAGGCAGTTAGCGAACTCTTTCGCTAAATCTTCCAGTTTTGGTGCAATAACTTTGCATGGTCCACACCAATTAGCAAAGAAATCAACAACCACTAACTGATCTCCAGCATCAGCTAATTTCGAATCAAAGTCTTCCTAAATAATTACCCAAAACAACATTTGTATTATTGTAATAGCAATTTTTACAATTATACAATAGACAAAAGTAAAGTAAAAGAAGTTCGTGTAGAATTCAAGTTCCTGAAAATATTATTTTTCTAATCTATTTTTCGAATTTTTCCTTGAATTTATCTTTACAAAGAAAGATTAATAAGGTGGTGCTTATAATTATTATTTTTTAAACCGTCATTTTTTATCCATAATTAAATCTTACTTCATTTTATTGCATACTTTTCATCAACAACAAAGTTGATATCAGTCCTTATCATTTCTACGATAACAACATATTACAATGATTGCGTGATAATACTGTTTCTCTTATAATTCCAGACATTATTTTCTGATTTGAAATTATATAGTTAAAGTATTAAAAATTTCCCTACATTTTTTTTTGTTATGATACAAAAATGGCACATTTATAAATATCAATATTAACCAGAAACTTTTTTTTAAACAATATATTGCAACTATAATACACATCAATGCTTTTTGAGGATGAAATTTTATAATTATATTTTCCAAAAATGCCCACTACCAAATCGATTATTAATTCTGATTGAAAATAAAAAATTCGATCGTGATAACGATTGACAATTTAAAAATATTTGGGACAATAACTTTCACGATTTACCTACGCCAGAAAACCCGCTATTATATTATTCTTGCGTTGTGGAATTTTATTGTTGAACTTGTGAAGGTTACTTCGGTGTTGTGAAAGTATATCAAATCCGTTACGTACATAGTTCTAGTTTAGCGAATTCATAAATAGATTGAAAATTAGATGAACGTTTCTGATTATTTTCATTTCTCATCATAATAATGCAAGGAATTCGTGCCAATGCCTTCATTTAAGTATAGTATAAGTAGCTACCAAAAATAGTGACAAACAAAATAGGAAAATACAAAATTAGTATCTAAATTTATAAATGTAGATTTCAAATCTGTAACGAATTTGATGACTGTAGAATCAATAATCAATACAATATGGATCTGAAAGACGAATGAGTAGGTACCATTTTTCGGTACCTATTATAAAACAGGAGTTTGAAGTCAAAATTGTTTTTAAACGATTTTTTAAACTTTTAAGTAACAAATCTACACTGTTTAAAACAATTTATCGGTTTTGTAGATAATATTATCAATAGTAAGAAGATAAAAACGAATTCGAAAAAAGTCAGATCTGAAGCAGATTTGTACTTTTCAACAAATGTCAAATTCGAAAATGCAGAAAGCAAAATCATTCTTGAAATAAAACTAATAAATTGCACAATTTTTTTTTACAATTTTCAGAAATAAAAAAACTACCCTTACAAGATTATTACCTACTATCAATACTACTGTTTTGTAGAGGTAACGACTATAATATCTGTCGTCACTATCAGTAGTTTTATGTATCACTAAAATAGGCATTATTTGTAAAAAATATTGTCAGTAGGTACCTTGTTTTTAATGTATATCACCGCCATCTTCTTACAACAGGTAAAAGAGCGACAAATATGGTTAACCTTTATGTCAGATGGTAATATAAGAGTAGACTCACTGGGACGTGTGTTAAAAAAGCAAAAGCAGCAGCAGTCTTTTAATTTTCTGTTGAAAAAGAACTGTCTAAACTGTATGTCAGAAATCAATCGCGGTCATTTCTAAGCATTCTTTGCGGAAATTTTAATCGAAATTTTCAAATCTCGTCAATATCAATCAGTTGTTTCCTGCTGCGCGCGGCATTTAAAAATAGATTAAAGGAAAGGGTTCAAAGGAGATTTAGACAGGTGGTGACCCAGTTGGTTAGGTTCTTAAAAATGACCCGCTTTATATCTTTTACCATTTTGTATATTGTTTTAAGCTGCATACATCTAGGTACTTACTTCTTATAACTCTGCATTGTATGTAATCAGTACAACCAACACAATAATATACTTTCAAGACCAGTCTTGTTCACGAAAAAATTTCGTCCATGATAATTACTTAATAAAAGAACAAAAAATAATTAACAAATACTTTGATTTTGAATTAAATATTATACTGTCAAAACTCATAATTGTTCCTGTCATTTTTTATTTCATTCTATGAACCCCTACGCGAAATCCAAAAATTAAATCCTTTTTAATGGAAGAATTAAATGGTAGATGAATTCTGGAATTTTGATTACTATTGCCAGACAATGTCATTCTCATCCTCTTACATTTAGTCAAGGTTGATAATGAATCATATACAATACACCATTCACAAGAATTCAGAGTATCTCTAATTAATCATTCGCCAGTTTAATTTTAGAATACATTAAGCCGATAAATGATTAATTAGGAAGTTGATAAAACGAATAAAATCCCTATTCCCGTGTTAAATATGTTTTATTACCGATACCTACTACGTATGCGTTGTAAAATCCGGTCGGGGAAGTCCTTGAGCGTAGGAGATTTTTGGGTAGGAAATTATTATAATATACGTAATGAAACCAAAGTATAAACAGCAATAGTTTATTATTGTAATATAATTATTTATGAATATATGACAATAATAAACTATTACAAGTATAAACAGCAATAGTTTATTATTGTAATATAATTATTTATGAATATATGTATATAATGACCGTAACGTGCAAACTTTCACTTTATAAGTACTCTAGAAAAAAAACAGATATTACGAAAAAGTTCTAAGTACATATTTAATACAACTTCCGCTTTTTTTTAACATTGCTTTTTTGTACACAGAAAGCTTATACCTACAGTGATTTTTTTTGTCGTCGGCACTCGTCCGCAGTATTAGAAAGGCGAATATATTATTTTATTTAAAACCAAAAAGAAATTGTATTCGTACATTGTTGGTAATAGTTTTTTGTTTTATTTATTTGTTTTTTTTTATTATTGTTTGGGTACAATGAACATTTTCAAAAATTAAATAAGATTTTATGCGCGATCGAAGACAATTTTTTTTATTTATGCTCTAGAATTGCTGCCCTAAGTTTATCGTAGTTGGCGCCACTGAACTGTGACAAAACTTCTTTGTTTTTGATGAAGAGGAAGGTAGGCATTGACGAAATGTTGTACTCGACAGTAAGTTCTTCGCATTCATCTACACTGACCTGAAATAGAAACGAAAAAGAAATTAAAAATACTACAATTTAGGTGACGTTTATTATTAACCCTTGGAGGGATTTCAAAAAATATGTATATTTTACTTGTGAATTTACCCCAGCCACCTGACGAACGGGGGTGTACAATAAAACTTCCAGTTTCATACTTATCATACTAACCTTAAGGACAACTATACTGTTGGCAAATTCCTTTGCCAATTCTTCCAATTTTGGTGCAATCATTTTGCATGGTCCGCACCAATCGGCGTAGAAATCGACCACAACCAGTTGGTCCCCGGCATCGGCCAATTTTGAATTAAAATCATCCTGTAATAAAGAAAATATATTTTATTCTTTTACAAAGCACAATACGATCCTAGCAGGACTTCGTTCACATATTTTATTGTATCTTTTGTGCTATATTAATTTCGAACGCTCTGTTAAGCATTCAAATGCGAAGTTAATTAATGGTAATAACTGAAAGCTTATTCAAGCTAATCGCTTGTAATCTTTGAAAGGATGACAATTAAAATTTTATGTCGACAAATAATAATGCCACAAGCACTGATTATTATTATTTTATTTGCGTTTGCGACCGCAACGAGTGTAACGTCTCCTTCCTATTTGCTGTACGTAAATTTCGTAATATTTACTGAACCACACAGAAACCTTGATTATGTTGTATATATTAATTGAACGTTTAAAGTTTTAATTACACGAAAAATGTGTTTTGTTAGAAAGTAAAAGGATATTCCTAACCGAAACTACACTTTACAATCAAAATGGTAATTTTTTGTTGAGTTCAAAAACGAAAAATAATTTACAAAAATAACGAATGTAAAGGGTAGGAATTCTTAGAATGGTCAAAGCATACGATAATATTTTATAAGGGTGGAAATAGCAAAGAAGAGGCTACTTCAGGACAACTCAACTTCTTGGAAGGATCTTTAAGACTTCCTTAACCTCTTTTAAACAAAAAGGCATTTAGATAATACTTAAAAAAGCCGACACTCGTAATAATCGTCAATTATTACTTTTTGAAGTGCCCCGTATGAAAAACCTTGGATGGAATACAATAAAATTACTTTTAGTTGAGTATGCTGTACTCAAAAGAACAGATAATCATAAATAGATGATTAGGTACTAATATAGGTAGGTAATATCCGATTTATTAGCGCTAATTACATTATGGGTGCAATAATGAATTGCATTTAGTATACCTTCATACGTAACAGAACGTGATTGGCATTAATCAAACGTGTGCATCGCTATTATTTATTCTGGTTTTAATAATCTTTAATAATCCGTTTTCCGCCCAGTGTATGATTGCATGTTAGTTGGAAATTCAAACGTGACGTCACCTATCTTCTATCTGATGCACTACACATTTCCACGAATTTCATACACTCCTTAAATAGGATCTTATTGGCGCCATAAACACAAGCAAAACAATTTTAAACGAACCCATTCTATTACAAATACAGGTATGAAGTACTTTCCATCTTTTATCGAACAAAAACATCCCCCATATAATCATTAAGTACATGCATATCTACTTATTAATTATTATCGATCTTTTTGATCGCTTAATAGAAGTTATTACGTTTTTCCAAAAGGCAGCCGATAAACTTTTGCGCAATTTAAATATAATTATATAGCAATTACAACTTATCGTACCAAAAATGTATTAGTTTATCAACTTTAAAAATGCTTTATCATGTTTGTGAACGTCAACAAAGGCTAGATAAAATCAAGGTGATTTTTTTTTAATACATTTCTAGTAGTACTATCAATGTGCCGATTCCTGATCAATGGAATGTGGACGTACATTAAAAACCGTTATAGGTGCATACATTTACCGCCCCACACACACATACATGTGCGGACCCTCATTCGGTAATACAAATTATGGCAGGTGAACTGATGCCAAGACAGTTTTTACGACTGCTAAACCATTACTTATTTTTTCTACAGGTATTACAATAATTATTATTTTAATTGAGCAAGTCGTAAAATTACAATATACATATTTATCCAGTCAATTACGTCATCACTTTTAACAGATACTACTATATTGCATACACACGTGAATACGTATCCAATCGGAGACTATAAAGTGGGACAAGCGTTATTTAAAAGTTCATCCAATATAATTACCGAAAACATGAACGCATTTTCCGAATTGAAGCAAAAATTTAAACGAACAAAGTCACAAATATAACAATACGAATCGTTACAAATCAAAAAATATTAATGAATAAAAAGGCCAGAAAAAAACAACGGAAACATACCTTATCCTTAATGTGAATAGTAGCCATGTCTACAGATAATTTTATTATTGTATTTAGTCACACTTGAGATGAAGTTCGTTCACGATTTATTGATATTGCCACAAAAGTTGGAGCGCAACTTTCGACTTGAACGAACTGAGTTCCCGTTTACTATTAAATATTCTTTAAAATAAGTCAAAATTAAATATTGAAATGGATCGAGTATGAAACCGTTTCACCACGTTTTGCAACCAACGCAACTGTGCCGCCTTGGTCGTCACACGATCATGCGTCCAACAAGCACAACGATGAAAACAGTTTATCAGAAAAAGGACAGAGAGAGAAAATATTAAGTGAGAAGGAGAAGTGTGAGATCCCCAACAAGAAAACTACAACAAAAGACTCACAAACAACGAACTAAATTTTAACGAGCTCCGATACTACTGTCTCCTTTGGCTTTGAAGGATTTCCAGAGGGTCTAGGATAGGTCGTAAGTTCCACTTACTCAGATGAATGATATCATCGCTATTTGACGCAGAAGTTGAAATTTTGCCGGAAGTAAAGATCAATTTTTCCATATAACAATGTTTACCTTCGCAGAAGTTTGAGGTCGCAACAAAAATCCTGTTATATTTTAAAACAAACACAAACATTTCATATGGTAATTAAAAGTAAAGCCAATCAATTTATTGTTTCCATTTTCGGACAATTCTTCCTTCTTGTTCTTTTTGAATGACTCCTCTAAATGCAGATAAAGTAAACTCAATAGAGTTACTGATTTAGTTTGTGATGAGTAATCAGTAATATTGATTGCTCAGAAATTTTACTCAATGAGAAGTTTTGACGCAGTTACCAAATCTTATCCAAAGCAAACTTTTTAAAGATATCTCCATATGTCTCAAATGTTGTCATGAACTTCGTATTCGCCATCATACACTGAGTTTGATTTTTTGATCGTTTTTTTGCAAAAAACTACCGATCTTATGTACTGTTCAATAAGACAGTAAAAGTCAAATAATTTTTTTTCGTTTCCTGAAAACTTCATAAATCATTTTCTTAGTTCACCCTGTTCGTTGAATCCAAATCAGAAAATTACTCAGGACTAATGATTTTCCATTAACTACATAGTTAAATATAACTGAAAATGTAAATTGTAATAAGAATGAACACTAGCCTTGGAGAAAGCATGTAGGTAACTATGTACTGAAGTTGAACTCCTAGCAACAAAAAAAAAAACAGTGACGATGCTAAAAGTATTGTTAATTATGTCGGTAAAATGTATGGCATAGCGTACAATCTCTATAATTAGAAGAATATTTTCGATGGCATACAAATGATTCACAATTTTCACTACTTGTCATTGTGTATTTTCTGTGATTGTTCAGCGTGAATATGAATGAGAATGTTCCAAAATGTGATTTCTGACTTATATTATTGAAATCGATAGAACAATGTTCATAGTCCGTTTAAAATGAAAAAAGGGGTGACGAAGTGACGCATGTTAACACATTTTATGAGTGAACCATTAAATCAATAGCGTAATAATAAGTGATATTGCATTTATCCCCTAAAAGTGGATGTTACAAAGTTTCCTGTTCTCATAAAATCAGCACACCCAAAAGTAGGTCATCACATCAAAAAACATTCGGGTTCATGTTATATTAATTGCAAAAGTTTCAAAAACAACCACTGTAGTGGTGTCCAGTCAATACTACGTCCATGAATTGATTACACCCCCCCTCCCTGTATTTTTGAACTACAAACGGTCATTACTGCGCTAGCGCAACGCCAAATCATGGCCGATCCGGACAATTTGGAGTACTACATAAAATTTCCGAATCCAAATTTTAATTATAATCAACATAACAATGACAGCGATTTTGTATTTGTTGTTGACGAGGATAAGATTCCTGTTATCCTCTTGTTCGGATGGGCTGGCTGTGAAGATAAGTACCTGTCCAAATATTCACAGATATACGAAGAAAAGGGGTGAGTGGTAGACTGTGGGGTCCTGCATCAATTTCGCATTACCAAGCCTATTTTGAATAATTGTCAAAAAATAATCGGTTCAATCTTGCGTATAAACGATCTAGTGCTTTATGCTCGTTTATTATTTTTTAATTAAATAAAAGTTTAATTACAACTTATCCAAAGAGAGTCATATATTCGAACTTGCGTTATTTTATTTATCAAAATTGTGGATAAGTCTGTTACGTTTAATNAGGAATTTTTGCTTGAATTTAAAAAAAAGTTATGTGTACTACTTTTTTTATGTATATAAAACTTTTGTCTTATAGCTACCTATCAAAATTGTGGATAAGTCTGTTACGTTTAATAAACTAAAAATAATTAAACCTCTGAAAGTGGAGTATCGACTTATGTATATAAATTTTATTAATGATTTTTGCTATAATATCTTGTTTCTCTATTTAAGTAGGTACAAAATAAATTTTATACTTAGTTGTATTGCTAGTGCTGTTTTAGTTTAATAACGATAAGGTACACTGCGCCAATAAAATGCCTGTTTTGGAAAAGGTATCGTATGATAGCAATTGCAGACAAAATATTAAAATTATTGCTCGATTTAAACTTTGAAAGCCATCCAGTGATTGTACATTGTTTTTCGAATGGGGGTGCCTTTTTATATCACAATTTTTCGCTTGCGTCAGAAAAGAGTACACAACAAATCCAGGTGAGAATTAGGAGAAATTATTGTAGAAAATGTATCTCACAAATGAAACAATCTGGAGCACAATAAAACGTATTATTTGGTAGTTAACATACATATTACCTACAATATTTTTTAGATAAAAGGTGTAATTTTTGATTCGGCTCCTGGCAAGAGACGAATTCTGAGCCTTTACAAAGCAATATCCGCTATTTTGGGAGGAAATATATTTTACAATTTTTCAATTTCTGTGTTTATGACCATGTTTTTATCCGTAATATGGATGTATGAGGTATGGCTCTCACTGGATAAAAGTTATAACGGTTCACTGTCCCTGTACAATTGGTTGCAGGTTTGTAAAAATTGGATATTCCCTTCCGACACATACCAGTCCCATTTATGGGAAAATTTGTTACAAGAAAAAAATATGTGGCCCCAACACTTCATTTATTCGAAAGCTGACAATTTGATTCCATATGAGGTAGCTTATCTTCGCCCTTTATTTATTTTCATTCAAATATTCCGTTCCGCACCCTCTAATCGTTCCCTTTCTAATATTGTTTGCAATTCCTGATAGACAAGCTATATGTATAATGTAGTCTATCTTATTTATGCGGTAGCTTCATCTCCTTTTAATTGTTTGTAGCTTTTACATCCAAGATTAATTATTTATACTATTTTAGGATATAGAATATTTTGCTGAATATCGTAAAAACAAGGGTGTAGAGGTAAGCACTCTGTGTTTTGAAAAGAGTCCTCACGTTAAACACTACTCTTGCCATCGAGAAGAGTACGTAAATAGCGTTTGTAGTTTTATCAATAAATGCTTGAATGGTAAAACGATTTAAAACGAGCAAGCAACAAGCATTGTCGTTACATAATTACCATTATAAATAATATAGCACAAAAAAGTATAACGATCCTTAATAAATAATATAACAATAACATGGTATATCTTCGAACCAAGTAGGTGCTTCAAAAGTAGATGTATTGTTGTTAATTCTTTTTGTTTTATTATAATTGAAGTGTGGAAAATATTTAAAATTGTAATAAGTAATAAATCAATATAAAAACCACGATTTGTTGTTTTTAAAAGGAAGTTGTGGTCACTTTTACACATTATATGGTAGTTTGAAGTTCAGAAAATGCCTCTTTCATATTACCTCTTAATTAAAAAAGTATACATGGTGAATCAGAAAAAACATCGTATACTTAAATAGTTTATTCAAATGTAGTGTTTACCTCAGACTGCATTTCTTATAAGCTACATATGTATACCATATATCAAACTAAAGGTCTCGGCATTCTCCATTCATCAAAAATGATGCGGGCCGACTGGCCACACGGCTCACGCATGGGTGACTAAGTATATATCATTTTCGTGAATTTATCAATTTTTGCAGACGAGCATTTCGCAGGTATCGTGTACTTATAGTCGTAAACGAAAGGTGCAAGTGTGGTTATATGTTGAGAATAATCCAAAACATTGAATAAATTCATCATGGCATTTCCCAATTACTCTTGTATATTGTACTGATCCCTTAAGATTTACTAATAGTAAGTAAAATTATTAAGTATGCAACTAAAACACTGATTTTATGAAATTACGTTTTACTGAATTGTAATCTTCTAATTACATTTAATAAACATCATTTTTACTAAGTATATAATTTTTAAATAAGAATTGAAAAAACTTCTTTTTAATACGTATTAAAAAAGAATATTTTTATATGTACACACAAATAAATATCTGCAGAACTTCCAATTGAAATGACACACCGTTAAATTTATTATTTATAAGCAAATACTTTTCTTACATCGTTCTCGATATTTATTATTAGACAAATAACTAACAAATATCATTATTCAGTTCGAACATTAATTAAACTAAACTTTTCAAACAAGACAATGTGACTGACACTTTCTTAATTAAATACTACAAGCGTGCAAAGTGCATGACTTCTATGCACTTTTTCTTCATTTCTTTTTTTTATTAATTATATACCTATATACTTATGTTTTTTATGTACCTGAAAATCACTTGGATTTTATTTACAAAATTGTATTAATAATAACAAACTCCTATAACAATTTGTTTGGGTTTTTTGAAAGCAAAATGACTTGAAAATGTTACGATTAGACGTTAAAAAGATCAGAAGTTATCTTTTTTATTTGATAATCAAGCAGTAGTTAAAAAAGAAACTATGATTATTCCAGTCATGAATGAAAAAAAATCACAAGGAATTTTTGCTTGAATTTAAAAAAAAGTTATGTGTACTACTTTTTTTATGTATATAAAACTTTTGTCTTATAGCTACCTACTATCTTATCATTTCACTAACACAGCTCAAAAAAAAAGTAAAATCACACTGGACTTGTACTAGCGATGACGCCATAAAGAAAATGAAAATAAAGTGTTCAAAATTTCTGGAAAGAATATTAAAAACAATAAGATACCTACAGTTACTACAATTATTAGTAAATTGGTAGTTTCAATCAACTGGAAACATGACTACATACTTCCAATTTCTTTCGCTCCATTATGTTCTCTTTCTCTCTCTCTCTCTCTATACAAACATGTGTTACTATAACACAAAAATGACGAAATATTCCGTCAATGTCAAAACACCCTATTCTTTCAGGCGTCAATAGAAACTATAACTCGAAAATGAATAAAATGAAAACGATTATTAATCAGTCTTTGGATAACTAAGTCCAAAAAATCAAAAAATACTGGATAATACGTTCGTTAATCGTCACCGTGGCTACATTTTCGTTTTGAAGGTCTCTTCTTTTGAGCCATCTAGATTATAAAAGAAAACATTTAAATAAACGTCACTTTGGATTATCATGTTATCATATCAAAAACGAAGAAGTAATAACAACACTCACCTGTACTTTAACAACACGTTTTGGTAACGTCTCTGTTAACAACATGACACTTTCTTTTGGTACCACTTTGGTTGTATTATCTTCGAATTTTACCTGAAAATTAAAGTAAAAAATTTATGTTTCACCTTCGTCTCAATATACATAAAATCAACAAAAATTTGCTTTTTTTCCCATTTACCTTATAAACGAGAACTATTTTCTTGGCTAAATATTGCCCTTTCACGAGTTTATTTTCTCTTTTTACGTCTATTTCGGAGCCAACTTTAATAATGCTATGGGTCTTAGGAATGTCGTCGCTTATTATGTCATCTATGATAAAATCGTGTTCAGGAAAATACACAGAATACATGTAAGATTTGTTAACTGAAATGACTTTCGCTCGTCGATAACAACCATCATCTTTCTTCGCCCAGATATGGTCATTTTCTTGTATTCCCGAGTATGAAGGCTAAATAATTAAAAATATAAATAAAGCACTGCCTTTATTAGTTACAATTACTACACCTTACCTTTTGGGGAGATATAGGATTTTTGGGCGACAAAATAGGCATGTCGGGGGACATATCAGTGTCCTTTTCGACGCCAATTTTCATATCTGAATTTGTCGGTTCGCATACCTTTTGTTGATCGATTATGTTCGATTTAGATGGTGACGGTTTTACGGTTGTGACACCATTTTGGGCTAGAAAGGAAGGTGGAAGTGTGAGAGAATTGTTGGATAAAAGAATAGACTTGGAATCTGGCGATAAACTGAGTAGAACGTCGCTAAGATTAACTTTTAATTTTATAGGGGTTAAAACTTGAACTTCTTGCAGCAGTTTCGGAGATAGCATTTCTTTCGCATTGCACGAGACAAGGTTATGCAATTTACTTTTTAGCATTCGTTTATAATACTTTTTGCGGTCACCTAAAAATTTTTTTCTTTTTGAACTATTTTTCATATTAATTATTTTCTTAACTTTTTTCTGAAAATTATACGACGAACCGACAAAATCGTCACTATTGTCTTTATTACAATTATCCGACATACTCAATCGTTCTACTTCTGCGTATGTCACATTTGAGACTTGGATATTCACTTTTTGAATAAAATCTTCGAAAGTGGCTTCCGATATGGAGCTCGGTTTACCAATATCACAGACTTTTGAATCTTCTTTAACCTCTTTCTTTCTTTTTTTACTCAGTGCTTGATTGGTAACAAATGCGATTGTGTTCTCGCAGTTTTTCTTATTCTTTTTGAAATTTCTGGGTGAGCGTCGGTGCTTTTTATTTTTAATATTTTTATAGAGGTTTCGGACAGCTTTAGTTGCCTTCTTGAAGGTCCTCTTTCGTATATTGGCTCTGTTTTCGTTCAAAACATCTGATTCGTTTACCAAACCCACACTATTCTCCAAATCTTTCTTATGTTTTTCCAATTTCATTTCCAATTTTTTTGTGACATCCTCATACACTTGCGCGATATACTTTAAATTCTCATCGGGTAAAGTTACGTTTTCTGAGTCATTAGATAGGTTAGTTGTATTGTCACCATTCTCGCTAGACTCATCACACGTCTCAACAACTTCTTCAACAACATTTGCAAGGTCGTCGTAGTACATTTCTTTGTTAGCGCCTGAACTGTTAGTAGACGAATTAGTGTCATTAGATAGTCTGGCAGAACTTCTCCTCTTTTGTCGGGCTTTTTCTTTTTTTGTACATTTTTTGGTAGTGCTACTGGCAGATCTTAATAAAGTTTTATTTTTGTCGACTTTTTCGTGGTCCAATTTTATGGGTTTATCAGTCAATGGATAAAAACGATCACCTCTGTCATATTTTGTATGACACGTATTAACCTGATAATACTTGGCTGGTTTGACCCAAATGTTATTTAACTTTCTTGATTTTGTAACACGACTGTCTTTTCCCTGCTGATGCTGTTGCTCTTTTAAGGAACTGTCAAAAAAATTTGCTGCCACTTGACCTATTTGCGAACTTCGAAAATTTCCATTTTCCAAACTAATGCTTTGTTCAGCAAACGGTTGTTGATTAAATTGTTGCTGTGAAATCATTCCAACCTCTTTCAATAAAATTTGTTGTTGACCATGTTGAAGAATTTGTGGAGAATTCGTGTGAAACATTAATTGCTGCCTTTGTTCATTCACTTGAGTCATATGAATTAAAGGACCTGTTCCTTGTAAGATCAGATTGTTCTCTACATTTTGTATTTTTTGTAAGACTATTTGTGGACTCTGAATCTCTTGACTGAACATCATCGGCTGATTGTTAGCAACAAATTGAGTGCCTTGAACATATTGGCTGTTCACTATTTCAACCGGTTGCACTACATTATTGTAAACGAGAATTTGGTGTTGTTGAGGAATGATTTGATAGTTGGCGGACTCCATAAGGTTCGTTTGTACTGAATGATACTGTGGATTATTGTTTACCGTTACATTTTCTTGTGGGAAAGTAATAACAGGAGAGCACTGCGGATCTAAAAGAGGCATTGAAATTTCCTGATCTTCTACAGGTTCTGGAATACTCAAAACAGGCATATCCTGTATTTCGTGAAATTGTTTACCGTCACTGGACAGGACTTTAGAGTTCATTTTTGAAAAAGTAATCGAAGCTGCGAACCCATTCACATCTTGGACACTTATGGACTTAATATCTTTGACATTTTTTGGGTGACTATTTTTACGAGACTTTCTTCTGTCTTCTTTTATAATTGGTTGCTGTGTAACGGAAGGTAATTCGTGTTTTTGATTTGTATTCTGTTCAACGTTTTGTATACGCTCTTCGTGTTTATCTTTTATAATTGTTTTCTCGTGTTCGCTATCTTTTTTCATTTCGTCATCTTTTAGGGATTGAAGAATACAATATTTTGGATCTTTGGGAGGCGAAACCTTGATTGTTTTTTCGGTTCTTCCTTTGGAAACTTGTACAAAGTTATCCTTTTTAAATGCAACTTCGTTTATATCATCAGGTTTGTCGGAATTTTCATTATTTTTAGTCAAAGAAACACCACTTTCGATGGGTTTCGTATACTTACTTTTTGTATTCGGGTCGGTTTTGTTTTCACGTTCAGTTGGTTTCAACACAAAAATATCCCTCTGATAATCTCTAATCGATAACTTCGTTTTGTTCTCAAGAAATGACAAGAATGCTGTTTCGTAACAACTTTTCGCTTGTTCGTTCATTGCAGGCTTTGGATTTGGATCAAACTTAATCCAATTTGATTCGAGCTCGGTTCGGTTGGTGTTAGCAGTCACTTCAAGCTTACCCCTCTTCTGGATGCGCTGTTTTAAAAGACTGTTAAGTGTTTTAGATCGTTTTTGTTCACTTTCTTCCAAATTTTTGCACTCCAAGCCGTGATTTTTCAATGCAGAGGAATGAGAGAAGGGACCGTATTTGGAAACTGTGGGATTATGGATGGGACTGTCGTTCCCGCTCTCTTGACGAATTACCTCTTCGTGTTCAAGAGCGGCCCGCTGGATAATATCATCGATAACGCGACTGACAGTATCTTGAGAAGGATCTTCTGAAGTCGATCTATTCTTCGGCGGGTTCTCAGATGATATCTTCTTTCTCTTGCCACCTAAGAAAAATAAATAATCTAATTTTAATTTGAAATTGAATCAGAGCAACCTTTCAAACTATAACCTAACTATTAAATGCCTAAAAAACAAGAATAATGAACATATCGTTTTGCGAGCATTTGTATCACCCATTACGCGAAAACCATTGACTGTCCGTCGTAAATTCTTTTTGTATGTACATACACTTAACGTACTTGAAACGTGATGTAAGCAAATAGTGAAATTAATACCCCTTTCTGGGTGTTAATTTCGATAAGTAATTAATTTGGGCAATTGTATATACTTAACAAAATAAATGCTATTTGATCATAAAATAATTTCGAACAAATTTTTGCCATCAAATATTAAATTTATACTAAAATATATCGTAAATGTAGTTTGACTGCATGCCGTTGTTTTTAATGTCAATTATAAATGCTTACTCACCAAATTTAACCATAATATTAAGACAATATTTAACAAACACACCCTACAACAGTAAATGCCGAAAAAGGTACAAAATTACTTGAAACAAATAATACCGTTAATTACATAAACAATGCGACTTTCAACTAGTTTCTAATTTACGTAGACAAAAGCTACTAGATTCTTAAGTGAAAAACAAATAAAAATAATTTCTATAACTAAAAAAGAATTAAGACAAAAACCTTTTTGTGTAGTTGTAATGTAATTGTATGTACTTATATATTATGTAAAGGTTGATAGTTTAATAACAAAAATATTAGTATTTTCTATTGCTAAAAAAAAAACGAACCGTTTAGAAAAAGTAAAACTAATTTGGCACTCACCCTTCTTTTTATGACACGACTTGTGATGTTCTCTCCTGTGGTGGTCCTTGTGCTTATGTTTCTTCTTCTTTTTAACTTTTAGCTTTTTCTCCTCGTTCTCAATAAGACTACGTACTAAATTGTCACCGGACGCCTGGTTCCTAATGTTTAATTTGTTCGAACGTTCTTCCACGAGACTTTGAACCAACTCGTCGGTGTTTGAACTACTTTGGCTATCTTCCTCCACCCCGTTCTTTAACAAATCCAAAGGCGCCACAATCTTACCACATACCTATTATCAATCACAAGAAAAGTATAAAAACTATTCTTAAAGCTAACATAGATGTTTTTAATCTACGTTTATTTTCTTTTAATATTTTAACTGTAAAATACCTTTTTCGTTTTTCCACTATATGGAGCATACAGTCCACTTTTGGTGATTTCTTTAATGCTTTCTTCAGCTGGATTTGCTTTTGCCTTAACTTTCTTCTTAGTTCTTGGACGTAATGTGGCGTCAGATTTCCTTTTTTTGCACGGATTCTTTTTACGCTTATTAGTAACCTTATAACCTTCGTCTAAAATAGTGGCGTCTTCAATATCTTTAACAAAAAAAGACACATTATAAAACTGTTAAAATAATACATTAAAATATATTATTATACTGCAATTATTAAAAAGGAGGAACCAAATTTTAAAAATTACCAATCTCTCCAGCTTTAAGCCAAATATCTTCAAGAACTTCTAACTGTTGTTCATCAGGAGCGAGTTCGGTTGGTGATGATGCATCCATGTCTTCTTCCATCAGCTGTAATTGTAATTCAGCAGGGAAGTCTTCCAAACTGATGTCACTAATTGAAATAAGATAATTATTATAAGATGCAATTTCGAGAAATATAATAAAAGAGCTGAGAAAGTTATAAACTGAGGTCGTCATGGAGCACCAAAATACTTATCAATGAAAAGGTTTTAGTAAAATATGTTCAAACTTAAATGTTTTAAAAATGTCTTACTGTCCGCTAAATCCCATTGCTTTGGCTTTTTGCCTAAATCGTCCTTTTTTGAAATTGGCTTGAAGGAAGCTGGCAGGTAAGGTCGGATTGTTTTTGTTACATAGGATATCTTGAGGCAACGGGTGGGGAGCTGCCACTTGTTTGTTAGGTTCTTCTGGGTGTGGACCAATATCCTGTCCTTGTAACCACTTATCATATCTGAAAATATTAGAAAAATTGATTTACTCTATTATATAACTTCATAGTATATTTTTGGTTTTACAAAAAATATTTTTGTACCTCTCAGGTTGAAAACGTTTAACAAATGTATCCATGGAAATTTTGACCATATCCTTGCTACACGTGCACTGGGAGGCCCTTTTACCATATTCGACCCATCGTGGACAGGCGAAATTCGTCGACTCAGCACAATTGAAGCCATGATTGAAACCTACAACAAGAAGGTAAATTTTTAATAAACACTTTATTTATAATAATATTTTCTTCATAAGTAAGAAATAACAAGTCTGATGCCAAAATAACATCTTATTAAATTATTAACAGATAACATACAATGAGATGATATTGGTTTTATCACAATAACATTCAAGGACACATGCATATATAAATCATAATAATTTTACTAACACGTTTACAAAACAATTCATAACGGCACAAAACCAATTGTTATGGATTTTATCATGATAAAAAAGTTGCATTGTTCTTTTCAAATATTATCAATTCAAGAAAGTAGTAAAATTTTCCTAATAATTTTCTTACCAGCATGATATCCATATGGAAATGTTATCATTATTTCACCAGCTTCTTGAGTAATCTAAAAATAACAATCAACAATTAAAGAAAAAACTGACTTATTTTAAAAGTAAAAATTTAAATACAAACCTTATTGAATGGAATTGAATATTGCTTTAGAATTTGTGGAGAAATTAGTGTCATTTTGTGTCTAAGGAAGGCCTGACATGTTTTATAACTGCTAGGAAAAAAGCCATTTGCCAGTCTTTCTAATCTTCTGCCATGCTCAGGAGGTATAGCATACCTGTAATCAAATACCACAATGTATAAACAAAAACTATTAATCTCTTGCAACAGCCCTACACACTTCTAGTTAATATTACATCACTCTTTTGACAATAAATTAATTCATATTTACCAAGTTTTGGGAGCTCCAAAGTGCAGATAATTTATGGAATACAAATCCATGTCTTCAGTATGCCAAGCAAAAGTTGTCTTCCACATTCCAAAATACAAATAAGCTGTGTTGACTCCCTCAATAGATATTCCATAATCTTCATTAACATAATCCAAAATTGTCCCCAAACGATTGATATTCCACTCCTTGTAAACATAAACATAAATGGAGCACATAATTACATCCAAATTCAAGTTACAAAACTTACATCAACATTAGTATCAGTTAAACTACCAGAGACATCAGCTCCATAAATTGGTGCAACGTATGTTATGTTCTTCCAATATTTCCTCTCTAAATCTTCATAGTCAAAGTGCTTTGGTGTCTGGTACCTCTCAGAATTAGCTAAATCTCTATACTGCTTTACTGTCATAGCTTTTTTCTGAATATTAATTTGCTGATATAAGCCTTGTTTTCCTGTCACTACTTGGCAAATTGGGGCTGGTATGGTTATACTTAAATCTTCAACTTTATATCCTGACTTCCTAGGGACCCATTCTGGTGGAGGAATCACCTAAATTGTAAAATAATATCACTTTCACGTATACGAATGGGGTGGAAAGTTAGGTTATAATTATTTAATTTTAAAAACAAAACACCATCAAACCAAAACAATACCTTTGCTAATCCAGCTTTATGGGCACCTTTTGATTCCATAAATTGGACATAATTATTGAAGTCTTTAAATTCGTCCCATGTGGGTCGAAAAACCATTATTCTAAAATAAAAATCGAAATTTTGTACTCTTCAAAACAATTTAATTTATTACTTACTTAGGAAATTTGGGCTGCTTTGGCTCAGCCATTTTAGTTTCTTTATTTTTATTATCTTTTGATTTTTGTTTTAAAGACCACTTATTACTGGCATACCGTTAAAAATTTATTTCAATTTTATTCTAGTTAATGTCAATTAAATAACAGCGGCCATAACACATTATACACAATGCACGTACAAGTATGTCACCACAATTAAAAACCTTCAATTAAAGTTTTCACATAAACTAATAATTACATATTATTTAGCGAAATTTAATTTACAATTTAAAGTAGAGATCATCTCCGCTGAGGAACAATTTCACTGTTTTTCAACAACTTTTCGATGGCAGATATCAAGAGATCCAATTCAATCCAACCCATACCAGCAACGTTTGTTTACTTCATTAAAGAGAGATGGCGATAGATGCAATTGTATAATATACCAAATTCAAAATAATATTAAATTTTTTTCAAATTCATATTTTTGTCAATTTTTCTCTGTTGCTACATAAATTATTTTTCTTTTATTTAGATAACAACGTCTGTAATTTGATTAAATGATAAATGATTATTTATACATATATAATTGCAACTATAGCAATATTCACACAAAAGAAATTATTGATAATTCTTAAATATTTTTTAGTTATTGAGTGCATTTTGCATCTTCTTATATGTTTTCGTTGCATTTTTATATTTTACTTGTTTCGGTAGAAAAAATATACCTTAGGCGATATAAAAAGTGCTCCAGTTGCTATAGGTTTTGCCTTACATTTTTTGAATATTTTAATAAGTGGGTACTTTACTAATAATTTTTTTTAATTGAAATCGTATACACGTTTAAAAATAGTAATTTTATATTTCGATCAACAGATAGTTGTAATAGTAGTAGTTGCCATAATATTTGTTTCTTGGTGGTGATTTGGTCTGTTTATCTATCTGTTACCGTCTTTTAATATTAATACCATTTGTCAACAAAACAATGCAACTTAAAAGACTTCAATAATTCCTTATTGATTTATAAACACTACTTTCATCAGTAATAACTATTCTCTCCTGCTGAATGCAGTGTAAGGTGAAACAAGTATTGCAAGTCAATAAAAAGTTAATGAAATACTTTAAACAGTTACATTATTTCATCATCACGAATCGTCGTGTTTGATGAGTTACGGAATCCTCGGCACGCGAATCTATAATGTACAGCAGTCGAAAATAAAAATGTTAGGTCAATGTTAAGCTTTTTTATAGTTCTCCACAAAACCAATTTTTAAATATTCTTTTTAAGAATACCTTTTTCCTATTCATGTATATTTGCTGATGAAAAAAAGGAACACTTTTTCTACTTATCATTACTTTATTAATGCTATTTACAGCAGGAGCTTACAATACATACAACAGCAGGAAGTAGAGGGCCTAAAATATTAAACTATCATTTTTTTCCATAAACTTGATTTTATTCACAAACGAAATAAAGTAAATATAGTGGGATAGGTTTTAGGTGTCTGTTAGAGTAGGTAAATAGTTATTGCAAAAAACTTTCAGGACCGAGGGTCATAATCAAAAACTTATATCCAACAATTTATAGAAGTATTACAATGATGATAAACTTCACCCTTACTTATTATCATAATAATAATAGTTATTAATTACACTGTGAATCGGCTAATCGTCGAAATTTTGGGAAAGCAAAAAGTTAGCTGCAAGATTCTCATTCCGTTCGCATGCAAAATAAGCCTGCACAACTAGGTGCTCGGGGAACCCTAAGGCTTTCAATCTTTCTATGGCATCTTTATCTTGAGGAGTCACTTGGATCATTCCCTGTGGCACTTGACCTCCTCCCGTTGCTTGACTTGCAGGTTGCACACCTTTAATAATTCATAGAAAAAAAAAATAACAACTTATGCTTTACCACAAACTTCTAAATAGGCTTGTTAAGTATAACGCGAAAATAAAACAAAGGAATACCGTAACTTTCAAGAAGAAAAACAGAAGCATTGTAAAACAACAATAAATTAAATACCTGCTGCTGGGACTGCTGGAGAGGCAGGGGCATTGGCTGAAGGTTCATTGAGCATTCTGACGAATGACTCCTGATGTTGAGAAATGAGTTGGAGGAGCGCAGGGTTCGTTTGACCGATCTGTTGAAGCACTGCATTTAATAGTTGTGGATTTTGTTGAATCACGCTTCGCATTTGCTGAAATTGGGGCTGATTACGTAAAAATGCAAGAGGATCGTCCGAATCTGATTGCCTCTCATCAACACCTGACATATCTGCAGATTCCTGAACCTAATTACAAAAAGTCAATGTGATTTCTGTACTTTATCCTGAATATTTAGACACAGTATAGTTATAATAAAGTAAAGAAGGCAAACTTACAGCTTCTTGCTCATCTAACGTTGGTGGTATCCCATTGATAAGATATTCAACAGCACGGTCTGGGTTATTAAAGCTTGCCCTTAAAGCCTGCTCCACCTGCTCTCGTTCATAGCCCATATCCATAATGTTTCGTACCATATTCTGATATTCTTCTCCCATCAACAGAGTAGACTCAGCCCCTGTTAAATTTGACTCCGTTGCTTCCAATTGCGACGCCGGAGCACTTTCTGTGGTGGAGGTTGTTGTTGGGGTAGAAGTTGTTGACTGTTGAGTGCTATATAACAGAGATATGTATTAACTGTTCAATTCCTATTATGTTCTCTCAAAACACTCAACAACTTATTAAATATATATTTGTCTTGTAATATAGGTCCAGAATTACATAGACAAACTTTAGTTAATTAGCAATATAGCAGTTTATCGTTTATGCTTTAATACTGAAGGCAGATGTATAAGTTTATTGTTTACACCTTTAAATCTGAAAGCATTTAGTTTATAGCATGTATTGTCATGATCTGGGTTTACATTGCCTTATAAATGACCATTTTTATACTGTTGCAAAAAATACAACCAACCTTGGTGTTGATATAGGTGTTGCATCACCAGCTTCGGTCTTTTCTGGCTGTTTGGGCTTTGTAACCATTACAACAATAAACTTCTTCTCGTCGATTTTATATTCCGAGAGAGCCGACTCATCCGTTAAGATTTTACCTGAATAACAACATTTGTAAAACGCCGATTAACCTAAATCAGACGCACCTTACCCGCATAAATTAGTCTTTGATTCTCTGAAGGATAATCTTTCCCTTTATCATTTTCAATTTTCTGCTTCAGTTCCTTCACCTAAAAATTATCTTTAAATTACGTTTACTGATAGTTTTTTCATACTTACAGTCATGGAAGGTTCAATTTCGACTTGGAACGTCTGCTGTTGTAGATTTTTCAGTGTTATCTTCATATTTACTACTTTATTGAACTAATGAGAAAACAAAGAGCAAAAACAAAACTACCGAGTCTGCTTTCTAATTTTACACTTTTTAAAAAATATTTTGATTTAAATTATTTTTGCCAATAATGATACTGCACAACTGGCAAATTTGGCGGCCATTTTAGTTTCAATACAATAATGTGTCATTCTAAAACAGTGACTCTCAAACTCTGGTATCGATAAAAAAAATAAAACATTTTTTTAATAGGAAGGGGATGTAAAACATTCCTATCTAATGACATGATGGAAATATATTATGAAGTAAGTATTCGCTAAAAAATTTTATTTATAAGGAAAATAGTTGTGTAAAAATTATAAGAAGCTCAATATTCGAAAATTATTTATTAAATTAAAAATATGTACAACAACAACTTTTAGTATGTTTACAATGTAGAATAACTATCAGGGCTTGCTAATGTGAAGTCCAACTGTTCGTCACTTGTGAGAAACCGTACGTCACTTTGACTATCACCACTGCTTTTAAATCGGTTCATTTTTCGACACCCCGTAACACTGTATCTTCTTATTAATAAAACGATACAAACTATTAAAATAATAATAGTTATGGACAAGATGAGAGGCATAGTAAACTTAGTTTCAGCTGGCTTAGAATTTTCATTTATAATCTTTGCGAGTTTCGTATTTTCCCCAGAAAACACCTCATCACTTTCCTTATTGTTTTCGTCGTCTGATTGTTTTTCATCTTCTTTTAAAGTAAATGTTACTGCTTTTTTTGTGGGTAGAGTTACAATATCATTTGTTTTCGTTTGTTGAGTAGATAATGTTGGTTTTGATGAAGTTGTTTTCAATATGGCCGCTGTCGTAGAGGGTGTTTTTGTGACTTTAACCTTAGTTTTTGCAGTTTTCGGTAATTTTTGAATTATTGGCTGAGTAGGAGGTGGTGTTAAAAATTTAAGGGTAGGTAAAACAACTACTGAATTTTTTGTAATAGAAATCGCAGTGGTAGTTAATCGGGTAGTTTTCGTGGATGTTGGTAGTGGTATTCTTGTTGTAAGAGTTGTGTTACTTGGAGGAGCTTTCGAAGTGAATTCAGTGGTAGGTAAAATTGTTTTGGAAGTATTAGGGCTGCTTGTTTTTTTCCCACTAGTTGTAGGATTTTCCTCAATGTTAGTACTTGTTTTATTTTCTTTTTTAGGTAATACGGAATTATTATTTACATCAACTTTTTTCGACATATTAGTTGCAATTGTAGGAGCTTCTAGGTATGTTTTATTTGTATTTTGGTTTTCAGTAATATTGGGTACTTTAGATGTCGACATTAAGAAAGGGGTGGAAGCATAACTTACGAGGGAATCATCTGTTGAATCTGAAATAAAAAAAAAAGATCCTCATAATTATTAGAATGACGTTAAAGAATAAGAAACTGTCAGAATATCACTGTTTCAATTATAACCAAATTTGCGTCCCAACTTTTGAGAGTCACTGACTAAAGCTAATGTTTGATATATACAGAGTGCGTAAATAGCTACGTAAGACTGTATTTATGAGTACTTACCAGCTATACAGAGAGCGATGAAATCAGGACAACATGTATTTCTTTCCATGCAGTTTTCGACACAATCGCAAGAAATTTGAAAATTATCTTCCGATATTTCGGAAGAATCGTTAAAACACCGGTTAGCGCAAGTTCCGATAGCAAACACAGGGGCAGTTTCGTAAAGCATTCTGAAAAAGTCTTGTATTATACAGGGTGATTATAAACCATTTCAACATAAAACGGCTAAAATGAATTTAAAAAAACTTTATACGTTTTTAAATACTCACGTTGTTGATATAATTTCATCTTCTTCAGTACAATTTTCTATCAGTTGAACATCATCAATGGCAAGATCGCCTACGTAACTAGGACCATTTATTCCTTCAATTACAATCTGAAAATGATTTAAATTGTAGTTTTTGACTATTTTTCTATATTAGAAATTGAAATCAAAATGACGATTGCAATTATTATTGTTGTTATTATCATGAAATATTTAAAACCAGAGGTACGTATGATATCATTTCCGGTAAATTTGATAAAACTTGTTATTACTCCATGGATGAAAGTCTTCTTCCTTAATTAATAAAATAACCTTGCACAGAAAGAAATAAATAAACAAATAGGAAANATTTTATTATTAATATTGACATTAAATGTATTTTTTCAGGGGGATTTACACAATAAATATTAATGTCACAGCAACTCTACAAAAACCCATAAAGGGGATAAAAACAGGCAGGCAGAATTTATTTTATTTTTTTTTTTTTTGAGTTAAAAATATCGTGAGTAGATAAAGTTAGAAAAGAGAAATAGGATAAGAAGGGGAAAAAGTAGATCTAGATTAGATCACTGTTCGCAAATGGTTGCTGTATTTTTCAAGGGATGCGAATATTGGTTCAGACAAACAAACATTTTACCTGAAAATCTTCATTAATGGGTCCCAGTTTAACAAAACCTTCCAACCAATCGTTTCCTTGATTTCCCGACTTGTTAAAAATAGCTTGAGATGGTTCTAAATCCCAACTGTCACTAATTTTCTTTAAATATATTCGTAGGGTTCCTATACTGCTCCCATACATGTGATAAAAAAATTTGAAACACGCATTGGTATCGACTTTATCGTAAATTGGTGAAATGAGACGAGCTGTCTCGTTTTCAGTTCTCGAAGATGATTCAATGTACATGTAATATCCTGAAGACAAAAGATTATTCAGAGGGATGTATAAATAAAATTAAAGAGACGGGAAAGTTGTTTGTCTGTATTACTTTCGTTCTGTTTAATTTTCAAAGTTTGAAATGTTCACCCTGTATATTATAAAATTGCAATTTCGAATACCATTGCCTTGTTCTCCTTTAGTGTGATCGTAAGCTGGTCCGGTTCCTAAGTACCCACTAGGGGTGCTAAAATTCATTCTAATCCAATCAAAATCGTGCCTTAAATCATGAGTCCATCCGCATAAATCCTCAGATTCAAAATCGCAACTTAAAGCCGGCTTGGTATTGGATTCTATAAAATTACAATTATCATCGCCATTAAAAATTCATATTTTTAAGCGAAATAACTCACTAACGCAACTGGGTAAATTATCACTCCATTGACGACCGTCACAATATGTTATATTGGGACCTCTTAAAACATAATCTGGTTTACAGAAAAAGTTCAAAACAGCTCCTCTATGAGAGGGATAAACTAGTCCATTAATTGGAGGTCTAACCATGGGACAAGTTGCCCCTAAATAAAATACAGAAATGTAATACTCAGAATAATGGATTAAAAGTTTTTTTAAAAACTAGTAGCACTCACTGACACATCTAGGAGGTGGGTTATCCCATTCGCCTCGGAAACAAATGCTATATTTTTCACCTGCTGTAATATATCCTGTATTACATTGGAATTTAACAAATCTTCCTTTTTGGCGGTATCTAATGCGGCCAAACTTTAATTTTAGTCCCGGACATGCTAAAAAGTCCATAAATATTTAAAAACATACTTGTCTCATAACTCAACTTACTCAAATGTGATATTTTCAGATAAAAAGACTTTATTTAACAGTTTATTAAGTCTGCAATATTTGTAAAATTTGAAAATAAAAACATTTATCATAAATTAATAGTTCGGTGGCGATCACTTGGCGGGTAGTATATTGGGTTATGTCTCGTGTTTATTAGTTCAATGAATTCAATTACTAATATCATAGATGATACATACATTGAGTATAGATAAAATTTCTTATCTATGGACAAAATCAGGTTATATTTATATTTTTTAAATAAAAACTTTGTTTTGAGTTTTGATTTCTAAATACTTTGGAATATATTTTGTGTAGTTATTAAAACAACAAAGTGCAGTGTTAAATAGACTCGAATAAATAACATGTTCAAAATGGATTCACAATTGGATATAATAAAAGATCAGCTGCTATCGTTATCACTTCTAGCAAGTGGAGATTCTGAAATTTACGTTAAAAGTCTTCAAGACGATATAGAAAAGAACAAACAGCAGCAAACAAAACTAAAATCAGAATCTGAGGAATGTATGAAACTTAAGGAACTTCTTGATAATCTGTCTGAACATGCCACAAAGAAAGTGCTTTATAAAGTTAATCCAGTGTGTGCTTTACCTGTGACTCTTATCCACACAGGCGAATTTAAAGTTAAAATCGGGACAGATATGTTCCTGTTAAATAGTTTAAAAGAAACCAAACAGCATTTAAGTAAAAAACATGCTAGTTTAAGTGAAGAACTACAGCTTTATAAAGTGAATTTGAATGAGCTAGAAAGGAGGCTCGATTTTGTAATAGAAAACAAACTGGGTGAAAATGAACTGCTAGAATTATCAAATATGCCGGATCAAATTGTTTCCAATAAAGGAGTGGCTGTAAAAATGAAGCATGGTTTTGAAATATTAGAATTTGAAGCAGAACCTATCATAACACCAAGGCAGAAAAGAACAAAACAAGTTGAGAAAGAGACTAGTATTGATGTTTTTGAAGTTTTAAATAAATTAGAAGAAGAGGAAGGGATACTTGATTATTTAGACAGTAATAAGTAATTATTTAAGTTTCTAATGAATAAAAATGTGTATTTCATAAGCTTATAAATCTTTATTTATTTGTATTTGACATTGAAAACCCTGACTACGTTTTTCCTGTACTTCTTTTTTATTTTTAATTTTACTTAACTTTATGTATGTACTGAAGCTTACTTACGTAGTACACTTTGCCTCCATCCTTCAATTTGAGTGAAAATCGCTAAAATTACAACACTATAAACCACAAACATACGATACATGTTTCACTTATTGCTGTTTTAGCAAAAATCAAAGATAATTAAAACTGTTTTTCTGGCATGTTTTGAAGTTAATGGCGCTAAAGGAAAGATTTTCGAACTTGCTTATCATACGTCCGGCGGAAGCAGATATTGGGGATATAATCGTTAATGGTATGAGAAAACCTAATACTGCATTTTTGATTTAATGTTTGTGACTACTTTTTGCACGTTTTAGAGATAAACTATGCTATGCTAGAACTTTATAAAACAGAAAAAACACCTTTAGGAGTATCTTTAAGTTACATATCACTTAGACTACGCTTTTTAAATTAAAGAAGAAATGCATATAAAAATAGGAGAATTAAAATAAATGGGTTCTTTTTTGGAAAGTATTTTGAACACCATCCTTGTTTGTGGTTTTACTGCTTGTTATAACTTCTTTTCTTCCCTTAATTCATTAATTTATACTTATATTCGTTTTTACATTTAGCGCGTTTTAATTTATTAATTTTCTATTATGGAGTTATGCAAACAAAAGTAACAGTGTGTGAATGGAGTTGCCTATCCTTAGGATTTAAAAAGTATGATTTTGGTAATAAATAGTAAATATAATATTTAGAAACATTTTTGAGGAATAATTCATACAATTTGAGTTACTTAATGTTTCAAAGCATTTATTATGAAGCTTTTAGAATCACTCTTACAAGTTGCAGTTTTACTTTTATTGATATATTGCCATAGATTGCACTGTATAATTATATGTATCTATGTGTTTAATTAAAAAATGATTAAAAACATGGCTTGTTTACATTCTGCGGATACCGAAAAGAAATTGTTACGCCGGTCTGAAAATAACGTTTAAGTCATTATGTGATAAGATCTGTAGTCTGTTTTTATTTCAAATCGAAAATATTGTGCTGAGTATGGTCTGCTGAAAATACGATTTTTAAAATCCAGCAAATACGATGTTTATAACAAATTCATGTAAGTGAAAATGCTGATCATTTAAATTAATACAGAACATATCATTATTTTAAATGCAGTTTCGTAAATTATCTTTTACCTCAAAACAAAAAGATATTCAAGGAATGACATTTTTATTATTTGAGGTTAACTAACTTTAGAAGATTTTTTATCTTGTATTAATAATTATAGCATTTTTTATATCAGTTATAAGTGCTATTGTTAAAGCTCTTTAATTTTACAACAGTTTGTGTTCACATGCAGTATCTGTGTCTTTATTACATTATAGTTCGGACTGTATAATATTTTATGTCTTCATTAGGTAGTTACAAGCTACCATGTTTACCTATTGATTTAAATTGTAGGTTCAGTTATTAAATACAAAATTTTATAACTAAAATGGAAGCAAGTCATTATATAAAGAAGGACATTGTAGAAGTAACCAAAAAAGAACGAAATTTTCCTAGTCTAGATCTGTCTACTACATCTACGCTTACTGAGAACACCAATCAACCTATTTTATTAATACAATCTCCAAAGACTCCAACTTTGTCAAGGAAACTTAAGGCTGTCAGCCTTGATTCAGATCCAACTCAAAAGTCAACATTAGAAGTATCTAGAGACGTTTTTTCTGTGCCCAACACCCCCAAGAAGCAATTAAAACCAGTCAGTATAAAATATAATGATGACAGACCTTTTCAAACGGCATCTTTAACATCTGACTTTCATTCAGTATCAAATTTGAAAAAGTTCACTTCGAATTCTAATATATCAGGTTCCCAACTGCTTAAAACCCTTCCAGAAATTATGACCCTGCAGGATTTTTCTGATAGTCGTCCTGAGCCTGTGAGAATAAAAACCAAGGGACTTTTAGAGCGTAGAGGATCAAATGCAAGTCTTACAATTGATTTGGGGAGTACTTCAAGGACATTGGATACCAAAGTAATGCCCCTTAAAAATTTTAACAATATCAAGAGTGTGTCACACATCAATTTGTCAACTGTTGGGGTAGAAAAGTGTTCTTGCAGTCTCCCCTCTTCTTGTGAAGTTAAAGCTAATAAAAAAGCTGTGGCAATTGTGGGAAGATGTAGGTAAGCAATTTCAATTGAAAGAAAAAAGAATAAAAGGCATAGGTTTATTGATAATAATAAAAAATACAAGCAAGTTTGGTTTTGAGAACTAATTATAAATATAAAGAGTATATTCTCTTTCAGTGGAACTCTTCAAAAATCTCAGCCACAATTGGACAAAATTGATATCAATCCAATTAAAACCAGTTCCCCAGAAGGCAAAACCGGTGTTTGCAAGAACCGTTGTTACACTTTCCATAAAAAATGCAATTGCCTGTGCAATTTTAAATGTCGTAGAAAATCGCTCTCGAACGAAAATTTGTACATCCCTCCCTGCAGTTTCTGTCAATCCCGAAACGGTCCAACAAAATGTGGTACCGCTGTAAGACACTGCAAAGGATGTAAGAAAACAGTGTATCCAAGGCAAGCGGGACTTTGTCAATCTCAAGCCTTGTCAGAGGACTTTAAGTTGCACTTACAAAACGTGCAGTATCTACAGACTGCAGGGAGTGTGTTGTCTTTAACTGATCTTAAAATGGCCTGTGAGGTAAATGAGTATTTTAATTTAATTTAAATTTAATTCGTTTGTTAATTTTTATTATTTTTAAGCCAACTAGAGTTCCAAAGTTACATCAAGAATTTTGGGAAGTGCCATTAAATTTGCAAGAAAAGTGCATAGTATCTGGTAGTCAGAACAAAAACAGATACAAAGGTGTTTTACCGAACGAACACAGTCGCGTTCACCTACTTGGAGAACGAGACTATATACATGCCAATTATATAAAGGCAAGTTTGCTCTCTTTGTAAAAGAAAATTAAAAGAAAATCATTTCACGTTTTCTCGTAGGGTCCAGATTATTTAGAATCGTGTTACATTGCGACACAAGGCCCAATGTCTCATACATGTGAAGACTTTTGGGAAATGGTTTGGAATAACAAGGTTTATTTATTTTTCTCCTAGTTCTTATGATTAATTAACTTTGAAACTAAAATAGTTTCTTTTCAGAGTAATTGTATAGTAATGTTAACGGGTCTCGTGGAAAAGGGTCGAAACAAGTGCGAGTTGTATTTTCCCTTGGGTAGGACTTCGCCGAATTCGCGTGAGAAATCGTTCTATTACGTGACAACAACCAAAGTGCAGGATCGTTTCACTTTCGACTTCAAGAATACAAAGAAATACGAAGAGGAGACAGTTGCATTCGAGGAACTAGATGAGGTCACATATGGTAACTTTAGAATTAAGTTTATAAACAAATTCGACTTGGGACATTACTCTTTACGACTGTTAGAACTATTCAAATTAGACAGTGACGGAGACGTAAGAAAAATTTATCATTACTGGTACTCCAAGTGGCAGGACCACAAGATGGCCAGTCCCGAGGAGGTGCTTGAATTGGCCCTGGACGTACTCACTAAAACTAACAAAATAGACGGTAATGAGAGATCGAAAAACCCAAACGACACAATTTCAGACAATAATATTAGTCGTAAATCGTCTTTAGACAACAACAATCTGGATAGCGTTTCGAAACAGCGTCCTAAAAATAGTCAGGATCTCATCAGTAATAACGCGAAAAATAATACGTCTGAGGACACGCGAAAAATTTCGAAAGCTTTACGCACATCAAACTGGCACAAGGAACTTGCCAAACTCCAAGAAGAAATGGAAGAAATTAAACAGAATCTCCTCAAAAAATCCCAAAGTGCGTTGGATTATTTCACGTCATCGAAAGATTTGAACGAGACGAGTAGCAAGATCGAGAATTTCAGTAAGAAAACAAACACCAATATTTTTTTTTCTTTAAAAACCCGCTCCATGGCCCAAACCGAATCTTTTGATTTCGATAAGACCTCAAAAGAGGAAGCGGAATCTTCGTATAACAACAACTTAAAAGTTAATAATACAGAGAAAAATTCGGAAGACGAAACAGCCGTGGTGACCAAAATTAGTCCGCGAGATCATGGTAATCTTAAATTCAAATCTGTTTCTACTAATGGCGATTCTTCCGAAATTTTCTTAAGGAACGAGACGGTCAGCAGACCGTTCTCTTCAAAAATATCGTCGGATAGAGACTCGAGTTCTGACGACTTCCAGTCAGCTGACAGTTTGAGTTTAGAGTGTGATCTATCTTCTAGTCTATTACCTAAAAAATTTGCCGAGCTTCCTTCTTCTACCATCGTGGTTCATTGTAGCGCGGGTATAGGTCGAACGGGATGTTTCTTGGCGGTCTTGAACGGTATACAACAACTGAGGAACAATAGAAACGTTGACGTTTTGGCGATTTTGTGTTCTTTAAGATTGAACAGGGGCGGAATGGTACAGACTGCTGAGCAGTACGAGTTAATTCATCGGGTTCTTAAGCTGTATGCAGAGACTTTGTTATAAAATTTTCAGGAAGTTGACTAATGTTATTGAAGATAATTTTGTTTTTGTTTGTGGGCCCGTTTAGGAATTAACAAATTCAGAATTTAGTTTACCATTAACATTTATAATTTCTGAAGACGTTTAAAAACTAAATTCGAAATATTAACTGGTACATGTCTCATAGATAATTAGAATTTTCTCTTAGGGATGACGTTTTAATTTTTTCCTTATTTATCAGAGAGAATTAATACGTATATGGCGAAATTAATAAAAAATTAGTTCCTAACAGATATTTCCTATACTATAAAGTTAATGATGGGTATTAAAGCCTCTTTCGTTTTTTAATGACTACATGTAATTTTTCCTGAAGAATATTTCATTTTTTGAAATAAAATGATCAGGGTTTGCAATTTATAGGGCAGGCTTTCATGTAATCATTATGTCCTTGTTATTATTTAATTGATAACATGTCTAATAAATATTTTGTTATCTATTAATTTTTCAAAAATTGTTTATTTATATTTTTTTCTTAAATGGGACCAAATTATACCATGTCATAATTATTATATGTGGGTAACATCAAAGAAAAAAAAAAAAAAACAAAGTGCAAACCCTAATCAGTTGATGATTAATATTTTTTTAACTGCGAAAATAACGACAGATGTGAATAAATTGAGGAATAGTATTGTTTTTAGAGCAGCTTCTCACGTTGTCTTATAAATTAAATGCAGAATTTTATTGCCCAATTTCATATTCAAAAATAGAGTGTTGTCTATCTTAATCATGCCGTGCTTTTGTGATAATTTGTAGAAGTAGAATTAGACGTTAAGATAAACATTCATATTACATAATCAACTTCTAAAAAGTACGAAAAAGAAAAACAAGTAATACCGCATTATTTCTGGAGCAATTATTTCAATTCTTGCTGCCGATAAGGCCAAACTGTAGACAAATTTCGAAAATTACATATCTTAAATTGATACAGTTACGTACTAAACTTATATCAATTAAATAAATGGTATACTCAATTCAAAAAGAGTCACAAAACTATTTTTTGACTTACCTTGTTTTGTGTACATTATCTTATCAAAGTTATAACGTAAGAGAAAAAAATTAATTTCTGAAATCAGCATTAAAAACATGCTCTACACGTACAATAAAAGGTTGCACATTAATTTTTAATCAGCGACAATAATAATGACACTTTTTAAAAATAAGTTGCGAGACTTTGTCGTGTTATTAAACTTGCCATTAAATTAAAAAGAAAATACTTTATAGAACTTAAGGAAATTATAAATATAATACACATGACTTCTTTCGTTTATATTTAAGTTTTTACTTGCGTATGAAGTAATGCGTTTCTAGAGTTTAAGGGATCGCCGTTTGTTTGAGAAATATCTATTTTATTTTGATTGCTGAATGTCAGTTTTGGAATTAAAAATTTTTACATACAGAAAATACACCGTATCCCTTAAAAGAAAGTAAATTGTTTTGAGTTTTTGATTAGAAAGAAAATTAATTTTAACGTAAGTTTGGTGAATATGTAATTTATTTTTTGAAAGCAAAATGCTTTGAGGGCGTTTAAAAATTACACTGGTAGAAATTGTTTAATGTATAGTGAATTTCACAAAGAATATTCACAATACATTAAACAATTTCNCCAAACCGAGCATTTTATTAGCAAGTTTTTATCGTACAGATATATTCTACCTATAATTAAAATCATGCCCTTGAAAAAAATGTGCATAACTAAAATTAGACACACTTATTAAATGTTCACGCGAAACATTACAACATTTTTACACCGATGTTTTTTAATTGCTGCAAACATATTTGTAGTATTTGCCTTTATTAATACCAATTATATAAATAATGCACCTGGTTAAATTTATCCCAATCCAAAAGGTTTTCAGTCTTTCTGCGTATTTTCAGTAAACAGGAATATAAATGTCTTGTTTATGTTCGATCTAATTGAAGATTGAGTTTATTTTTATATTTCTCTTTTTCTCTCTTCGCATCGTCGTTAGTTGAGTTCCTCCTGGTAACCTTGAGAAAACCACATCAAAGAAAATTATCTTGCGTTCATTAATTTGGGTAATTGAAATACACGAATTTTATTACATTATTACATAGATACCTATTAAAGTTTAAATTTAGATGATGAACCTATGAGATTTTATAGAAGTTTCAAACTTTTCGTATTTACAGAGTATACCCACTATTTTTTTTTTTTGGATTTTCACTACGTTTTTGCGTAACATGTTATGGTTAGAATGTAAAATAAAAACGGTTAGCATAACTGTAAAGATATTTCTACATGAAAAATCATCTAAAAATGTCTATTCTTTGTTGTATTTGATTTGCATATCACACCTTTAAATGCCACACTTATTGTATAAGTACTACACATATGTAGATTTCTAATCGTTACATATGGGTAATACCAGCAATCCAACTGATTGCTATTCCGAAAGAATATTTTGAAGGAATTTTACTGAAAATGCCGCAAAATTGGCAGTGGAGGTGATTTGACGATAGCTTATCAGACAAATAAAGTACAGATGGAAAAATCAGTAATAAACGTTAGAAACTCGCGATTTAAAAAACGTTATTAACTTTTGAGCGACAGTACAAATTGTTTTCCACTTTCTGTAACATTTATTAAATATGAAAATGCATTAAAATCTGATAGTGGAGATAGTGACGATACTTTTCAGATAAAAAAAACTATTAAAAATCTCCAGAAATTCTAGCTTCAAAAAAGCGGTAATAACTTTTGAACGACAAGACAAATTGTTTTCCACGTTCTGTTGCATTTGATGAATATTATAAGTAAGTTATACGTATATGAAAGTTTTAAGGTAAAAAAGAAGTAGGACACCCCTTGACCTGCACCTATTTTGTACATTTCCATAACTATGTAAGAGATAATCATTTAATGAATAAGTTAAGTGAAGCATTACACTTGCTTTACTCTGTTATTATTTAAATTTAGACATTTGAATTGCGACTGATTGTGAGTAGATAACTAACGGTTTAATGTTTACATATTATTAAAGTTTGTTATAAAAAAGAGCAACTTGTAGTTATTATTACGTTATATTTTATACGTATTCGTATATAACGTAACAATTTATACAATCGAAAAGTAGGATGGTTGGTGATATCGGTCGTTAAATATTTCATAGAAATGCTAGCTGTAATTTGCATTTTATAGTACTGTCCTTAACCCTTATTTAAATTCACTTTACGTAACATGATATCGTCCCTTTAACAACTGAACAGCAAAGTATATTTTTCAAGTTTTTTTAACAAATTTTGAGGCTTTTTATTCATTTGGTTTTTTCAAATTTTAGACAATTAAATAGTTAGTAGTAAAAAGAGACTTGTTTGAAAAAGTTTTTATTTTGTTGCAAATAAGCGAATTTTAGAAATTTGATTAAAATATTTTACAACCCTTTTTTTAATTACTTTCTTTTATTGAAGTCTAGTACAGTGGGGAATGCAATCTGAGAAATTATTATCGTTTTTGTATAGTTTTTACGATTCGAAGTGACTTAATGTTATTGCTATTCTAATAACTTTTGTGGCTTTATTTGAAATTTACCCTGTTGCTACTGTGGCGCCACCCTAATTTAACGCAGTTTAACGGACACTTTTTCTCTACAAAAATAGTACGTCTTACTTCTACCCTCCATAATAATAATTAATACGTACACTCCCTACCATTGGTCTAGGAAGCATCCATTTTTTATTTTAAAGTAAAGTAGAAAATACTTTGGATAACAATTTGTACGGGTGCGAAACATGGACAGTGGGAGCGGCGGAAAAGAAAAGGTTAGAAGCGTTCGAAATGTGGTGTTATAGGCGGATGATGAGGATATCGTGGGTAGAAAAGGTTAGAAATGAAGAGGNATTTTTCAAAAATTGTTTATTTATATTTTTTTCTTAAATGGGACCAAATTATACCATGTCATAATTATTATATGTGGGTAACATCAAAGAAAAAAAAAAAAAACAAAGTGCAAACCCTAATCAGTTGATGATTAATATTTTTTTAACTGCGAAAATAACGACAGATGTGAATAAATTGAGGAATAGTATTGTTTTTAGAGCAGCTTCTCACGTTGTCTTATAAATTAAATGCAGAATTTTATTGCCCAATTTCATATTCAAAAATAGAGTGTTGTCTATCTTAATCATGCCGTGCTTTTGTGATAATTTGTAGAAGTAGAATTAGACGTTAAGATAAACATTCATATTACATAATCAACTTCTAAAAAGTACGAAAAAGAAAAACAAGTAATACCGCATTATTTCTGGAGCAATTATTTCAATTCTTGCTGCCGATAAGGCCAAACTGTAGACAAATTTCGAAAATTACATATCTTAAATTGATACAGTTACGTACTAAACTTATATCAATTAAATAAATGGTATACTCAATTCAAAAAGAGTCACAAAACTATTTTTTGACTTACCTTGTTTTGTGTACATTATCTTATCAAAGTTATAACGTAAGAGAAAAAAATTAATTTCTGAAATCAGCATTAAAAACATGCTCTACACGTACAATAAAAGGTTGCACATTAATTTTTAATCAGCGACAATAATAATGACACTTTTTAAAAATAAGTTGCGAGACTTTGTCGTGTTATTAAACTTGCCATTAAATTAAAAAGAAAATACTTTATAGAACTTAAGGAAATTATAAATATAATACACATGACTTCTTTCGTTTATATTTAAGTTTTTACTTGCGTATGAAGTAATGCGTTTCTAGAGTTTAAGGGATCGCCGTTTGTTTGAGAAATATCTATTTTATTTTGATTGCTGAATGTCAGTTTTGGAATTAAAAATTTTTACATACAGAAAATACACCGTATCCCTTAAAAGAAAGTAAATTGTTTTGAGTTTTTGATTAGAAAGAAAATTAATTTTAACGTAAGTTTGGTGAATATGTAATTTATTTTTTGAAAGCAAAATGCTTTGAGGGCGTTTAAAAATTACACTGGTAGAAATTGTTTAATGTATAGTGAATTTCACAAAGAATATTCTATATGAAGGTTTTTTATCGGGAAATTTTATTATTAATATTGACATTAAATGTATTTTTTCAGGGGGTGCTTATTCTATTTAAGATGTACGTAAAGGTTTATTAGATTAAAGAAATATTTATGAACACCAATGAAAACATTAGAAAAAAGGTAGTTAATAGTGATCTTTTTAGCGAATTATCTAACTATTTCAAAAATACATACATTCTAGAGTAATTAAATTCATAGCATTTTTAAAGCATAATCTTTTTTCAGCTACATAAGATCTATTATCTAATTTTTGGGTTGTAAAAAGTTAACTCACTTAAAATATTTTAGTTATTAACATTGAAGAATTAGTTTCTTTTATATTCATTACACATTCCCCATTAATTATTGTTTTTTAATTGGTTATTCCTTTTGAAAATAAAAGAGAAATTGTTTGTTAGTGAAGCTCGATGGCTAGTTAGATTATAACAGGTGTAAATCGTTGCTCAAAATAATATCTACAGTATTTTTATTCACTAGTAGCATTTCAAATCGCATTAATTTTCACATTTCCTCCATAATTATTACTACAATATAACAGAGATTGTGATTTTGGTGGTGCTTAAGTTTTTTGTGTAAATTTTATTAATTAATATTATCACATAAGTAATAAAAGCCGACAAGATTTATAGATTTAACAAGTTTGTATTTTGTAGAATGTTTGTAGTTGGATCGTTTAAAAACTACAATACCTATATATTTTGTCTTGCGTTTTGAATGAACTTTATGGTACAGAGTGGTCAATGTGAAACCTATTTATAATAATTAATTGCCATTAATGTTACATGTAATAATTATGTTTGTATTGTATGTGAAAGATATGCGTAGGTATTTGTTGTGTTATCGATAGGATCATTGTGTATCGTCCTCTTTAAATAATCATTTGATGCCTGTTAACAGCCGAATGTAGTAATAGTTTAAAGTTATGTATGAATTTTCCCAGTCCTCTTATAAGTACAACATTTTGTAGTCTTAATTGTACAGTTTATGTTATATATTTTTTCAATGATATCTTTGTTGTTACTTTGTTACTTTTAATAAATTATTTGTCTTAAAAAATCAAATGCTATGTTATTATAAAAATTTTCGTTTATACAGTTTAATTTATTACTAATACCGCTGAAAATGGACCTTTGTAGTGAAATATTATATTGAATTAATTTTACAGTCAATTAAAACATTAAAAAAGTATTTTAATTAGTAGTATCAAACTTAACATTAGTAAAAAAATTACGTACTTAAGATATATACATACAAGATCAGTAGTGCCATATGCAACCCGTCTACCTTAGGTGTTCTCTCCTTTGCCTAATCTATGAGCAAAGTTTTCAAAATGGAAGAAATTTAATTTGTTTCGTTTGTTTATTGTAATTTATGGTAACTTAAGATGTTGTGAATAATGGTAAGAATTGTTGTTTATTTGAAATGCTAATTAGAGTAATCAATCTGACAATAATTTATTAGTTTTATTTGAAATTTATTTGTACACTTATACTTTTGTGCCAAAACAACATTTATGAAGAAGCGCTTCTAATTAT